TGGGCTCTCATCCTTTGTTCTGAAAATCAGCATGCCGCTCAGCGACCAGCCAGAAACAATGGCCGTCAACGTAACTCGAGTCGCTGTTAAGCCTCCGCCGTTTTGGAAGCCGAATCCGACGTTATGGTTCGCGCAACTCGAGGCACAATTTGCCATCTCCGGGATATCCGCAGACTCCACAAAATTCAACCACGTGATTTCAGCAATCGAGTCCGAGGTGCTCAACTCAGTTAGTGACTTAATTCTACACCCACCGGCCAGCGAAAAATACGAGGCCCTCAAAAAACGTCTCATTGAGCTACACTCGGAAAGTCAAGAATCAAAGATTCGCACACTCCTGCAAGGCTTGGAGTTAGGAGACCAGCGCCCGTCACAACTGTTAAATCGTATGCGTGCTCTCGCCGGCGAGGCGGTTGGGGAACCACTATTAAAGTCCTTGTGGCTATCAAGATTACCAGCGAACACTCAAAGTATTCTTGCCACGCTAAGCGAGGACCTACCCCAACTAGCTACGATAGCCGACAAAATGTCGGACCTAACCATCACACAAAGTGTAAATTCCACTTCGAGTCAACAGTTAACGCACCCATCCTCGTTAGAATTTCAAATTGAGCAGCTTATCAATCAAGTGGCAGAATTATTGGTCATAGTGCATCGTGAGCGACCACGTGAGAGGAATAATCGTCCAACGTTCCACTCCCGAAATCGTAAGCCAGTTCGAGGTCGTTACCGCCAGTTCAAAGAACCGATGAACAATCAATGCTTTTACCACACCAACTTCGGAGAGAGAGCCAGGAAATGCACACCTCCCTGCTCTTTCCAGCCGTCGGGAAACTAGCAGAGCGGCTGTCTGGGGCCAACAGTTGCGACCGCTCGATTGACCGAATATTTATGGCCGACCCGTCTACAAACTTGAGTTTTTGGTTGACACTGGCGCAGATGTTTCAGTGATTTCTAAATCTCTCTCACTGCAAGCAAAAACCCCTGGGAAGCTAGTTCTCTTTGCTGCCAATGGCACGAAAATCCCAACTTACGGCACCAAGCTGCTAACACTGGATTTTAACCTGCAAAGAAACTTTCCATGGCCTTTCATCATCGCCGACGTCACTCAACCAATTATAGGCATAGACTTTCTAACGCACTTCGACCTATTGGTGGACGCACGAAAAAACCGCCTCATAGATGTAGCCACGCAGCTGAAGTCTAGAGGAACAGAATGCCCCAAACCAACGACAAATCTCTCCATCACCACCATATACGGAGATTCTGACTTCCAGCGAGTGCTGGCAGAATTTCCCTCGATCACGAATCCCTCGTTAATAACAGCGAGAAGCGGCAAGGCTTTCGTTTTCCACCACATTGAGACTACAGGTCCGCCAGTTTTTTGCAAACCGAGTCGCCTTCCCCCGGACAAGCTAAAAGCAGCTAAGGCAGAGTTCAGTTACATGCTACAGCAAGGCATCTGCCGCCCTTCTAAGAGCCCGTGGGCAAGCCCACTTCATTTGGTCGCCAAGCGTAATGGCGACTGGCGTCCCTNAAAAAAGAAGTGATTTTTCTTATATGAAACTTCATAAATTAATGAAATTTGTTAAATTATTTGGTTGGTTGCATTCGTTTTTTGGCATAAAAGTTATGAAGATATAAAAGCTATGCAAAGTTAAAAGAAAGAAAAAAAAGAAAAATCATATAAATAAACATAGAAAACAGATGAATATATAGATCCAGGGTGGCCAAGCTCCTTGATAGTCCAAGCCATTTTTGAAAATTTGAAATTTTTTCGCGAGCCGCAATTAAATACGTATGCAAAAAATTCCAGATTACGAATTATATCCGTAGCAAGAGTGATACAAATTGTTCCTCCAGAGCACAATGTGAACTGTTCGTTGCAATGACAGTTTACAAATTCAAAATTGGTCTGGAGTCAGTCGATAACAGAGGATTATGCCAGTTTATGTTCGTTTGCGCAGTTTTCGATGAGTCATATCATTCTTAACTTGGACGGAAATGAAATTTGTTACAACGTTGCACTTAGTCTTTCATATTTGTTGTTAGTAATTTAAAAGACTTTTTGAAACACATACAGAACGATAATAATTTTTAAAAATATAATAACACAAAAATGAAAAGGGAACTCGGGTACATTTATCGAGAGCCACAAACAGTCCTTCAAAGAGCCGCATGTGGCTTGCAAGCCGCAGGTTGGCCACCCCTGATATAGATTAAAAATATTTATAAATAATATGCCCAAAAAAAATAATGTGAGGCATCAATAAATCTCAAGTGGACATATGCACGGTTTTTAGTACTGTAATCCTGGAAAACATGGAATTTTCATGAAAATTGTTGCTTTATATTGATGTTATGTGATTTGATCCAAAATACTTGATTAATTGATGTAGCAAGTTTCAATGCAAAGTTTCAATTGTGTGTATATTACATATAATATATAAGAGTTTTCTAAAACATCTAATATCATCAAACAAAAGGGTGTATTTGAAAACTAGTTTTATCAAAAATTGAGTGCTTCCTTTCCAAATACAGTAGATTAGTTAGCTCAGAGTCCAGCACTTTTATAGGGGGTGCCAAAAGTAATATAGGATTTAAATTTTAAAAAGAACTTATGATTTATTCATTAATTGGCAAAGTTGTTACATCATTTAAAATGCAATTAAATATGGAATAGAATATCTGACAAATGGCTCCCATGACTCTTCTGACACACTCATATTCAAACATGTACACTGAACCAATATAATGTGTGGTACGATCGACGAAACAAAAAACAAACGTTTTCGAACCTCTTCTAGGTTCTTCCTCAGGTTCCTTTAGCTTTTTAGCTCGTAAATTCGATATTTCAAATAACTTCGTTCTTGCGATCGAACAGTTCTTTTTTAAAAGATGTGTCGCGCATGCCGTTCAAACTAACGACTGCCGTCAACGAAAGACATTAACGAATGTTGTTTAAATAATTTCTTTCTTAAGATCGAACATTTCTTTTAAATTATCCGTCACGCATGCGTGACATGTCCGCTTGCTCGGAAATAACGAGCAGTTAAAGCGTGTTATGTATCAACTCTTGCCAGGCCATCGACAAGATCATCTCCTCTTTAAAATTTATGCACGTGGTTTCGATAGAGGATTTAAAGATGTGCATCGCCTCTAACCACTTGAGATGTTCATTGGGAGGCGCACCGAGGAGGAGATTGGTCCTATTAAAGTCAGCAACTATGCCCGGGTCTGTTGCGTATGTAGCGAGGGCCGTGNAGGTCGTGACTTTATCCTGTTTACTGATCACAAGCCGCTAACTTTCGCATTTCGGCAACGCCCCGACAAAGCCTCTCCAAGACAGCTCCGACACCTCGATTTTTTATCGCAGTTCACTACGGACATACGTCACATAGAGGGCTCTCACAACATAGTTGCGGACTCTCTATCCCGTATAGCCGCGATAAACACGCCGTCGCAGATCGACTACAAAGAACTCGCCATTCAACAACGACACGACAGCGAGCTTAAGGAGCTGCTAGACAAGCCAAACGCCACAGGGCTGTCTTTCAGCCGGCTTACAGTCGACGACTCTACCTGCCAGCTCTACTGTGACGTCTCATCGGGGACCGTACGCCCTTATATACCGTCATCGTTACGCAGAGAAATCTTTAACATGCTGCATAACCTTTCACACCCCGGCATCAGAGCTACGATTAAGCTCTTGCAGCAGAGATTTATCTGGCCTTCCATGAAAGCCGACGCCACCGCTTGGACTCGCTCCTGCCTACAGTGCCAGCGGTGCAAAGTTACTCGTCACACTTCCGCCCCGCTCGCTAATCTGTCCATGCCAGACGAACGATTCTCGCACGTCCACATCGACATCATTGGACCCCTACCTCCATCTCATGGATCCGTTTACTGTCTGACCTGTGTGGATCGCTTTACACGTTGGCCAGAAGCATTCCCAATACCAGACATCTCAGCGGAAACAATAGCGAGAGCATTCTACTCCGGATGGGTCGCCCGCTTCGGCGTACCGAAACAGATCACCACAGACCAAGGTAGGCAGTTTGAATCAGCCCTCTTTCAAGCGCTAGCCAGCCTACTCAGTTCGAAGCGTATTCGCACCTATCCCTACCACCCAGCCTCCAACGGTCTGGTCGAGCGTCTACACCGTCCACTCAAGGCAGCTCTTAAATGCCACGCTACCGAGAGGTGGACCGAAGTGCTCCCAACTATCCTTTTGGGTTTGCGCTCTACCATCAAAGATGGAATCAATGCCACATCAGCAGAGATGGTTTATGGAACCCATCTACTTCTCCCCGGAGAGTTCTTCGCTACAGAGTCAAGCTCGGCGATCGACCCAACTTCCTTTGTCGGTCAGCTCCGCGAAACCATGAGGAAGCTGCGGCCAGTAGCAACATCCGCACACTCAAAACGTGCAGTTTTCATCCATAAGGAACTGTCCACCTGCAGTCACGTATTCATTCGTCGTGACGCAATTCGCAGGCCGCTACAACCAATCTACGATGGACTATACGAAGTGATATCTCGGCAGGGAACGGTGTACAAAGTCCAAATCAACGGACGAACATCAGCTATAAACATCGATCGGCTAAAGCCTGCGTTCTCGTCACCCCCTGAAGCCGGATCAAATCCCGACGTCCCACCCCCAACCACAACGTCGCACACTCCGGTTCAGCCAGTTCCAACAGACACGTCGCTTCCCACCCCGGCCACCTCATCGACGACTACCCACTCAGGACGTCGAGTCCGTTTCAATCCTTGCTTCCTCTAGCTCCTCGTGCCTTTGGCACTTGGGGGGAGTACTGTGGCGACCAATTCTGAACTTCGTCCGATCGCCACCAGAGGGAGTCCGGAGGCTATAAAAGGCCGATTCGAACACGTGCCTTCGTCCTTTTGTCGACTCCTCGTCTAGAGTACGGACTCCTGTTCAATTGTGCAACCTGAACTCTTTTGTTGGCAACCAAACGCCACACATTCACTACTTCATTCATGCACAATGGACAACACACACTAATCCAAAATGCTTTGGTGTGGCATTCCAGCCAATGTCCACTAAGACTAAAAAACCATGCTAAAGGATTAAATGAACTCAAAACATGAATGAATGAAATTACCTGTATGTACTACACCATTAGAAAACAGGAAACAGGTAAGACAACATACAGACATACATAAAAGAAAGACATCGGCCATACATGAAGTGTTTAACTGGCAGAAAAGAGGGTAAGGGGAAGGGGGGAGAGGAGACAGACAGTAGAGAAAGGTAGGATCCCTCTGAATGGCATATGTATGGCTACAGTATCTTCTATGTTTAATGTTGGCATGCAGTTTTTAGGCTGCAAGGCCCTAGTCCTCCAAAAGGTCTAAAAGAAAAACCTGAGTTTAGCGAACACCAATAATTGAGTGCTGCCATGAATAGCTAAGTGTAGAAGTTAGTTCCAAGTGACTGTTAGTAGTTAGTAGGAAGACTTATATCTACTTAATACTAATAAAACTGAACACGCGATCATGAATCATAATACTATTTAACGGCTAGACAGACAGCTTGAAAAGCAAATGAACATAAGGACAAACTAGATGAGATGAATGGACCGACAGAGACAAATGAGCAAGACCCCAAAAAATTTTTTTTATTTTTATTATTTTTATGTATTTATTTATTTATGATTTTTTTAACATTAACTTCTCACTAACTAAACTAACCTCCCATAACCTAAGACAAATCTAAATCTAACCAGAGGACTAAAGCTAACAAACCCTAATCTAATTTAACCTAACCTATCATAAGATAATCGGAAACCAAGCTAAGAGTCCTCCCTAATCTAACTTGCAACTAGGACTAACCAAATTTAGACCAAAGAAGAAGACAGAAAATAAGAATTAAAATACAAATTTGAAAGGCAGCTATATACCTACAGTTGAAACAAAGCAAGGGAAAGCTAATTGCCATCCATGCTCCTGGAGTGAGTGCTCTCAAGAGCCTCACTAAGGGATATGAATGTGAGTAGATGATGGAACATTGTACATGTGTAAATGAGTTGGTGCAGGTTGTAAGACCAGTTGTACCCTTCAAGAATAGCAGTTCTCGTTAAACTTTCCCTAATGTGATTACACCTATTGCAGCAAAAACTAAGTGAAGTGGTGTTTGGTCCTCCTGAATACCATAATCGCATTATAGATTGTCCCCAAGGTTAAATCTATGCAAATATTGCTTTAAAGTTGCTGTGTCCTGTAAGTAGCTGAGTGAGGGTGTAACTAGGGTAAAAGTGGTGAAGAATTGCAGTAGTGTCAACCTTGGGGATGAAAGTGTAGGTGAGCCTACCAGTGGTATCATGGTCCCAGCTGTCTTGCCAGAGAATGAAGATTTCCTTCTTGACATGATTGTTGATATATAAGGTAGGAATGTAACTG